TGCTGTGAGTGTGGGAAAAGCTTCACTCAGAGATCAACCCTTATTCACCATCAGAGAATCCACACGGGGGAGAGACCCTACAAATGCTGTGAGTGTGGAAAAAACTTCACTAACAGCTCAGCCCTTATTACACATCAGAGAATTCACACAGGAGAGAGGCCCTATAAATGCAGTGAGTGCAGGAAAATCTTCACTAACAGCTCAGCCCTTATTAAGCATCAGAGAATCCACACGGGGGAGAGACCCTATGAATGCTGTGAGTGTGGGAAAAGCTTCACTCAGAGCTCAGACCTTCTTATACATAAGAGAATCCACACAGGAGAAAGACCCTATAAATGCAGTGACTGTGGGAAAAGCTTCACGAAGAGATCAGTCCTTATTGCGCATCAGAGAATCCACATGGGGGAGAGACCCTATGAATGCTGTGAGTGTGGGAAAAGCTTCACTCAGAGCTCTGACCTTATTATACATGAAAGAATCCACACAGGAGAAAGACCCTATAAATGCAGCGAGTGCAGGAAAAGCTTCACTAAGAGCTCAGTTCTTATTGCACATCAGAGGATCCACATGGGGGAGAGATTCCATGAAAGCTGTGAGTGTGGGAAAAGCTTCACTGATCGATCAGCCCTTATTAGACATCAGAGAATCCACAAAAGAGATCAACCCTATGAATGCTGTAAAAAGCAACAGAGGGTCCTGTGGCACCTTTAAGACTAACAGAAGTATTGGGAGCATAAGCTTTCGTGGGTAAGAACCTCACTTCTTCAGATGCAAGAATGCTGTGAGTGTGGGAAAATGAATGCTGTGAGTGTGGGAAAAACTTCACACGTAACTCAGCCCTTATCATACATCAGAGAATCCACATGGGTGTGAAACCCTATGAATGCTGGGAGTGTGGGAAAAGCTTCCATCAGAGCTCACACTTTATTTACCATCAGCGAATCTGCAAGGGAAATAAGCACCATGAAGACCTTGTCTAGGGTTGTTAAACATTTTCTTTTCCCCCTGTAATACTTGTGCTAATTCCCACAGAGTGACTTTTAAGGCTATTTTGTACCTTTGGCTTCACTGTGGTCATTCAGCTCCCCCAGGTGAGTTGTCCACCTCTGACTTTTGCAGTTCACTCTTCTTTTGGGAGAATCCTGTTGTCTTTTCTATCTACTCCATTTTCCTATGAATAATGGGAGTGTGCATCTCTCCTTCCAGGAATGTCCTTCAGACACAGGTGGGGAACAGAAGGGTGACCTCAGCTAATTACATTGAGGGAAAATATACTAGGGTCTCATCTCCACTACGATTTTCATGGGGTTAGCCAGCTGGAGGTAGCTGTCCTGATGTAAAAACGCAACTATACTTGCAGTAAAGACATTGCCGTGTACAGAGGCTGGGATTATCTAACATGTTTCCTCACGACCTGACCTCACCTCCCACACTCTTCCTGATCTAAACAACCCTGGAGCATCACAACAAAGCAATTGTTAGAGCCACTGAGACCCGATTGTCGTATTTACAAGTGTTCTGACGTTGCTCAGAGTTGGGATGAACACCAATTATTTTTGGTACCCTTCTTCTAATTTAAAATGGAATTAATTATCACATGGAGCAGGGGCAGGGGGAAAAGTATCTGTTCAGCTTCTGTGATGCCTGAAGGAGATAGGATGAGTCGGAGAGATTCCCTCTTCCCCCATCATCCCATCACTGTTACTCTCTGCCTGAGCCCTGCAAACTTTTATCTTCTTCCCCATTCAGCCCTCTGTCATGCTGTCTAGAACGGCTCACCAACATGAGTGCCTACCTCAGGGCAGACTGTCAAAAAAGGGCCAGAAATGCTAAACTGGTCTGTGTTCTACAATTAGACTTCACCAAACCAATAACAAATATGAATTCCTGGATCACTATAACAGTCTTACCACGGAGTCACAGACAGGCCCCTTAGACTCTCCAGTCTCTCTTGCCATCCAGACAAACTGGACTTAGTGATAAATGGTCACTTACACCAAAAATCACACTGCAATCAGGCACAGGCACCGGCTCTGCCTCAGGCCCTGCCCCCACCTGACCCCTTCCCCCAGGCCTCTACCCCCATCCTGCCTCATCCCACCCCTGCTCCACCCCAGGCCCCGCTCCCGCCCTGCCTTTTCCCGCCCCCCCCTCTACCCCTGTCCTGCCTCTTTCTGCCCAGTTCCACCCCCTCCCTTGAGCACACCTTGGCCCTGCTCCTCCCCCTCTCCCTCCAGCGCCTCCTGCACACCACGGAACAGCTGGTCGTGGTGGGCAGGAGGCTCTTAGAGAGAGGGGGAGGAGTTGATTGGCAGAGCCACCAGTGGATGGGAAGTGCTGGGGGGAGAGGGGGAGCTGGCTGCCAGTGGGTGCTGAGCATCAACTAATTTTTTTCCATGGGTGTTCCAGCCCTGGAGCTCCCACGGAGTCAGCACCTATGCACTCAGGTCCCTTCCAGTACGAAGAGACCAATCGTTTACCCCAGATCAATTGGTATTCTAAATCCTACACCAAAGACAATGCTTGTAGCCAGTCCTGTAATAAACTATCTAAAGATTTATTAACTAGGAAAAAAGAACAAGAGAGTTACTTACTGGTTAAAGCAAGCAAACGTAGACACACAAATGAGTTACCATCTAAATCCTAAGGGTCACAGAGGTGTAGTGATCTGTCTGTTCAAAGTGTCTTTCAGGGCAGACCCAGGAGATTAAAGGGGGACGTGATAGTGGTCTTCAGATACTTGAAAGGCTGCTATAACAAAGATGGAGAAAAGTTCTCTCTGGCCCCAGAGGGCAGGAGAAGAGTCATTAGGTTCAAACTACAGCATAGGAGATTTAGATTAAATCTCAGAAAAAACTTCCTAACTGTAAGAACAGTAGGAAAATGGAATGGACTGCCTAGGGAAGTTGTGGAAGCTTCTTCACTGGAAGTTTTCAAAAGGAGGCTGGAGAGCCATCTGTCTTGGATGGTTTAAATTTAATTAATCCTATCTCCTAGAACTGGAAGGGACCTGATTTCACCCCAGATCCCTAAGTGGCCCCCTCAAGGATTGAACTCACAACTCTGGGGTTTAGCAAGCCAATGCTCAAACCACTGAGCTAACCCTCCCCCCAACACAGCCTGCATTTTGGCAGAGGGTCAGACTAGATGATCCTTGCGGTTCCCTTCTAACCCTATGGTTCTATGATCCTTTTGTTGGACAGGCACTAACACATCCTGTGGCAAACCAGTATTTCACACTTGCTAATGTTTCTCTCCTGACGTCTGATGAAGTGGGCATTCACCCACGAAAGCTTATGCTCCAATACTTCTCTTAGTCTTAAAGGTGCCACAGGACCCTCTGAAGCATTTCATAGGGTCTGAACACTAAACACCTTCTTATAAAACCAATACCTGTTTTGAGCAAAACTAACAGACAGGTGAACTGGTCTGGTCTCCAGCTATGCATTTGTGAGTTCTTAGCTAATGCCTGCAGCCTGGACAAGAACTGGCCACTGGCTTGCCAGGATCACACCCTCCCTCTCCCGAAGTGGCACATGATGCAGTGTTCTCAGCTCTGTTTGCCTGAGATCACTCTTTGATCCTAAATCAGACTCATTGGGGCTCATGGAGATAGTGTCATGGACCACCATGGGAATTTGGATGGATCCCAGACACAGTGTGATCATTCTGAGTTTAAATCCCAGTTTCCATCTTTTGGCAAAGCAACTTCTGGGCTTTCTCCTGCTGAAATGGGAAGATTGGCTGTTTTTTCCCAGGTATGATATCAGAGAACAGGATGTGAATCTGCTGTCCTGATTCTGAGTCATGAGCTGTAATCTGCTCTGGAATTTTACTTGATATGAAACTGAAAGTGTCTTATACCGCTCAGTGATGTGGGTCTTCCTCTTTCCTGAAGGCTGTTTGGTTACGTACCTGGATATTAGTTTTGTTTGACAGAATGTAGCTCAGATTTATTGGGGACTTTGGGACAAATAACTATCTGTTAAAAATAGTCACTTCTTATTTTATTTTTGCTTTCCTCCCACCCTTTCATGATGACATGGAGAAATTTGTAATGCACTTCAGTCAACAGGGGAGAATACTCTAAGTCATTGGACATGCTACCAAGGGAACAGAGGTGTTTTTAAATCCCCACTATGAAATGGTGAACGACTGCCCACCCCAGATTGTGCAACTTACTGATCATAGTTTTGTTCAATTCTTTAGGTCCATATTGTCTTAGATCAGTGGTCCCCAACCTTTCCGTGGGGCGGGCGCCGGACGACTAGCCGCCGAGGAGCACGGGTGCTGGACAAGCAGCCACCCAAATGCCGCCGAGAAACGGCAACGCCAAGAAGCGTCGCTGCCAAAATACCGCTGACAAGCAGCGTCATCAAGAGGCGTCGCTGCCAAAATGCTGCCAAAAATCGGCGGCATTTCGGTGGCGGCTCTTCTTGACTTTGCCGCTTTTCGGCAGCATTTCGGTGGCTGCTTGTCCGGTGGCCAGTAGGCGGGCGCACGTAGATGCCTCGGCGGGCGCCATGGTGCCCGTGGGCACCGCATTGGGGACCCCTGTCTTAGATGATCCAGGAAGAAAGTTCTACAGTATGTGACTGGGAACTTTGCAAAATGCTTACGAAGTTATGACCCAAGTCCTACCGGAGATCACTCCTGAATATATCTCCTAGCTAATATTTTGATTTGTGAAATGTTGTGTAACTATGCAGAGGTGGAGGAAACAGAAGTGGTGGTTTTGTTGAACTAACCCTTTGTAGGTGCTGCAAATGAGTATAAAATGAAATCGGTGTTGAATGTAAGATAGCTGTAGAAAAATAACAATTTTTGAACAGAAATAAAATCAGAGATTCTGATTCAGGTCTGTGTCTCATTCTTAACTTAGTCTATGGCTACACTTATCAAGGATTGATGCTGCTGCGATTGATGCAGTGGGGGTCGATGTAGCTGGTCGAGTGAAGACCCGCTAAATTGACCACAGAGTGCTCTCTGGTCGATTCCGGTACTCCACCGGAATGAGAGGATTAAGGTAAATCGACGGGAGAGCATCTCCTGTCGATGCAACGTGGTGTAGACACTGCAGTAAGTTGACCTAAGCTACGTTGCTATGTTCATGCAGCTGGAGTAGCGTAACTTGGATCGACTTACCATGGTAGTGTAGACTACAGAAATAAAGTGGGCATGTTTGGGGAGCAGGGACGGGGCTTTGGGGAAAGGGGGGAGCAGGGGCAGGGCCATGGGGAAAGGGGGGGAGGAGGGGCGGGGCCATGTGGAAAGGGGTGGGCAGGGGGTGACACCATGTGGAAAGGGGAGGAGCAGGGGGTGACACCATGGGAAAGTGGGGAGCAGGGGGTGACACCATGGGAAAGGGGCAGGGGGCGGGGCCTACGGGAAAGTGGGGAGCAGGGACCGGGGTTTGGGGAAAGGGGAGGAGCGGGGCGGGGCCAAGTTGAAAGGGGCGGGGTCATGGGGAAAGGGGAGGCGCAGGGGCGGGGCTTTGGGGAAAGGGGAGGTGCCGGGGCGGGGCCATGGGGGAAGAGAAGGAGCAGGGGCGGGGACTTGGAGGAAAAAAGAGCAGAGGGTGGGGCCTTGGAGGCAGGGGCGGAGCAGGGGGCGGGGTCACGGGGAAAGGAGCCGAGCAGGGGGCGGGGCCCCGTGGCGGCGGAGGGGGGGGGGAGGCGGCAGTTGCTCCCGGGGTTCTAGGGCTCAGCAGCGTTGTTAGGGAGA